CACTACATTAGCACTACTTTATATTGCACTACTTATTACACTACATTACACTACACTACAACGCCATGCAATGCAATGCAATGCAATGCAATGCAATGCAATGCAATGCAATGCAATGCAATGCAATGCAATGCAGTGCAATGCAATGCAGTGCAATGCAATGCAATGCAATGCAATGCAATGCAATGCAGTGCAATGCAATGCAATGCAATGCAATGCAATGCAATGCAATGTAATGCAATGTAATGTAATGCGATGTAACATATGTATGCATGTATGTATGAATGAATGAAGGAATGTATGTATGTATGTATGTATGTATGTATGTGTGTATGTATCTATGCTCGTGTGTGCATGTATGTATGCATGCATGCATGGATGGATGGATGGATGTATCTATGTATGTATGTATGTATGTATGTATGTATGTATGTATGCGTATGTGCGCATGTCCGTTTGTGTGTATGTATGTACGTACGTATGTATGTATATCTATCTGTGTATGTATGAATATGTTTGCAGAGAGCTTGCGGCCTCACGGGCTTGTGCTTCTCCGTTTTCCCTGCGGTGTGGCGCGTAGCGCTTGCTGTTCGATTCTAGGGCTGATAGGTGATAATTTTGGTGTATTTACAGGCTCTAGCGTACGGGTAGGTATACGGTTTAGCGGGCTTGGCTGATTCGCGTCTTGGGATTAATTAGGGCTTCCGTTTTCGGGTTCAGGGTTTGGGTTTGGGGTTTACGCAGGCTTACTTGTGGCTTGCTTTAGGGTTTTGTCAAAAAGAAGCCCGAACATCAGCAATGCTCTTCCCGACGGTTCCCTGTTATAAGCTGTTTACAACATGCACAAAAACTTCAGTCCAAGTCTCCAGGCCATCGTATCAGGATTAGACTCGAATGTTCAGTGCACTTGTGTTCTGCAGGAGCGTGCTGGGGATGGGGCTACTCCTTTGCGCCTTCGGCTGGCAAGTGTGAGGTTTAGGGTTTTCGGGTCTAGGATTCCCTAAATCCTAAACCCTCAACCCGAACCCGAAACCCTCAACCCTAACCCCAAACCCAGAACCCGCAACCCTGACACAGAGTTTACGGTTGAGGGTGACTCGAGCCGCTGCTTCCCTGAAGTCTTGGTGATGTTTCGAAGGAGCCATTACGGGTACTAGGTGGAGAACAGGGACATGGACGAATATGGGCGTAGCAGACATTGGCAGAACTGTATTCAAGGGTGTATGCCAATATAATCAAGCAGAATGCTTAGGCATGTTGCAACCGCTATCATGGCCAGGAGAGATCTGCCAACACCTTGAAGCTCAGGTTCTCCAGTAGTACCCTTTTGCCCTTTTTCTTTTTGGGCTCCCTTATCAAAAACCGAGTAGTAGGAAAAAGGGTACCCTTATTATTAAGGGGCTACTGGGGAACCCAGGAATCCTAATCCATACTATTTTGGGGGTTCCTTATTATGGTTTTGGGGCCAGTATACTATAATCCTCCTTCTCATGACCCCCTTTTTAAGGAACCCTTTAACAAAGCCTACCGGAACCCTTTTAAGGAACCCTTAAAAGAACCTACCGGAACCCTTTTAAGGAACCCTTAAAAACCTACCGGATCCTTAAGGAACCCTTGAAAAGCTTACCGGAACCGTATGCAGGTGCTTGGCTGCAGCACACGGACATGTGGAGGTAGCATGCCTGCTGCTCCGGGTAGGAGCCGAGCTGGAGAAGAGGATCGTCGCTCTTCTCAAGACCTTTTTTTTTGTTGGGGGGTGGTTTAGGGTTTAGGGTTTTTTGGGGGAAGCGGGGGGTTCTGCTGGGTTTTGCTAGAACATGGTAAATGTTACAACTGCTTTGTTTTTGTATTTTACTATAGTTGACTGTAATGTACTAATTCGTGTACTAATTCGTGGAACATATTCCTATCATATTACTCATATTACAATCGTTCAAGTTGCGCAGAATTCGTAGCGCTTTCTACAGAAGGGCTTTGGGCTGCGAGCGTCAGGGTTCAGGGTCTGCTTTGGGGATTGCGGGTTGAGCCTCCTTTTGCACTTTGCCTGTAGGCTCCATTGTAGCTTCTTTTTGTGGTTTATATTTAGGGTTGCACTTTGCCTGTAGGCTCCATTGTAGTTTCTTTTTATGGTTTATATATAGGGTCCTAAGCGGTAATCCCAAAAAGGAACTACAACGGAGACTATAGGTGCAGACTATTCAAGCCAGCCAGTCTTCGGCCATGCGCATGCTTAAACTAAATGCCACGCCGCTGGCAACAAAGATGGTCGCAAGAGCAACAGGGAAGCACTTAGTCGCATCACCAATAGCGACATGCATCATCATGATCGTATCATACTGTTGATGGACAAAATCCTGCATGACTTTATATACCTAAACTATGGGATTTATGGTACTATACTATATTTGGGTCATGCAGAATTTTGTCCATCAACCGTACGGTTACCGTTTTGGGATAGCCTCAACATCACGTCCCAAATGCAAAGTGGACCCTGAGAGTGACCCTCGTATCTAGAGCGAGACCGATAAATCCTGGTCCTACCTGGACCCTGAAGAACCTACCTTTTTTAGGGTTCCTTATTATGGTTTCCTTATATGGATCCTTGAAAAGGTAGGTTCTTTGGGGTCTAGGTAGACCTTGAACACAGCAGGAGCTGAAAACACCCTTTAGACAAACTCCATACACATATGGGGGTTTCCAAAAATAGGGGACCCTAATATAGTACCCTAAATAATAGGTTCCTTATTATAAGGACCCCCAAATAAGGTACCCCTTATTTTCGGAAACTCCCATATTGCAGCCCTGATTCCGGCTCTCCTCGCACCCCCAAGCCGTAATCGAATAGCAAGAACAGTAGAATGATACCCTAAACCCTAAACGCTAAACCCTAAACCCTAAACCCTAAACCCTAAACCCTAAACCCCAAACCCGGCGAGTCCAGGGAGCCTCGGGTGCTACGCCTTTGCTCTTGGGCAGTCAGGCGAGTGGGGGATGACCTAAACACGATCTTGATCCAACGTTTCAGGGCTTAGGGCTGAAATGAACCCTAAAGAGAAAAAGACCCTCCCCTGTCTAGGGCTCCATGTCATGGTTTCCCTATGCAGGTCCTTAGAGCAGTAGGTTTTTGGAGGCTACGCTAAGGCTTAGGCCTATAGAGATTGTAGGGTGTAGGGTTTTGGGCTTGGGGAAGATTATGCGGGTCGGAATAGCTAGTAATCGTATTCACTGATAGTCCTTGTACATTCAGACTGTTACATCCCCCGCAATAAGTCTCCTAAACCGTAAACCCCAAAACGCCCCAGACCCTAAACCGCAAGAAAAAACTCTAATCACCACCGTAAACTCCCCAAAACGCCCAGACCCTAAACCGTAAAAACATACTCTAATCACCACCGTAAACTCCCCAAAACGCCCAGACCCTAAACCCGAAACTCTAAACTCTAAACCCTAAACCCTAAACCCTAAACCCTAAACCCTAAACCCTAAACCCAAAACCCAAACCCCTCCAGCCTTCCAGCCTCTAGGCCCCAAGAGCCTGCCGCCTGCCATTCCTCTCAAGCCCTAAAGCCTTATGAGCCGGTTTAGGGTTTAGGGTTTAGGGTTTAGGGTTATAGGGTTTAGGGTTTAGGGTTTAGGGTTTAGGGTTTAGGGTTTCGGGTTATAGGGTTTATGGTTTAGGATTCTAAGGTTTAGGGTTTAGGGTTACAGGGTTTAGGGTTTAGGGTTATAGGGTTTAGGGTTTAGGGTTATAGGGTTTATGGTTTAGGATTCTAGGGTTTAGGGNNGGTTTAGGGTTTAGGGTTCTGCGGACCTAATCAGGCTGCGGAAACACAAAAGAGAGTACGATGTTTTGGGAACCACCGGCGCTGTAAACATTATCTGTCTTTCTAAACCCCCAAGACGAATTCCTAAAGCCCTGAACATCAAACCCTGCCCCCTACGCATCAAACCTTATAAATCTTAAGCCCCACAAAGCACCCTACAACCCTGATAAAGCCTGTGTAAACGCTTACTCAATGCTAAAAAAGCCTCCTCACAATCCTAGCGTAAAGACCTTTACAAAACCCGAAACAGGTCCGTGAAAGCCCTTGGAGTCCACCCTAGGCCTCAAGCTGCATACGAAACCTAAACCCTAAACCCTCAACCCTAAACCCTCAACCCTAGACCCTATTCCCTCAACCCCAAACCTTAAAAAATCCTAAACCCTGAACCCTGAACCC